GGCATTTTGATGGGTTTTAAAAGGTGGCCTCAGTGAAAAAATCTGAAATAATTATTGTGTAACAGGGTATGAATGAAAAGAAAAATAGGAAAAACTTCTCTGCTGAATAAAAAGACAGGAAGAATAAAACATAAGCAGGTATATTTAGGTCATAAAAAGCCTTTGTGGCTTCTTCCTGCTGTCTCAGATCACTTACTCTGAGGGAAAATAGCTGCTATGTCAGGAGCACACACAAACAGATATTGACTTGGTGAGTAACTGAAGCATCCTGCCAAGTGCTACAATAAGTGAGCCATCTTGGAAACACTTTTCTAGCCCCAGTCAAGTCTTCAGATGACTGCAATGCTGGCCAACATTTTCACTGCAACCTCATGAAACCCTGAGCCAGAACCACCCAGTTAAGCCTATCCACTCCTCTCAGAAACCACACGTGGTAAGAAATTCTGTTCCCTGAAATTGCTAAAGTTGAGACAAATTTATTACACGGCAATAAACAGCTAATACAATTGGCAAGGTGTGAAATTTGACTTTGTTTACATTAGAGCCAATGAAGTTTTGTGCTAGGAACTAGAGCAAAACCTACAGTTGGAATTAAGTCTCACAGCAATATGCAACATGAAGTGGGAAGTATTTTTTCCTCCCATTTTCCACAATACTCAGTAAAGAGTCCTGCACATAGTAAATACCTGTTTGGTTAGTAAGTCAACTTACACACAGGATTCTCTAATTGACTAAACATAGTAGTCTTTATGTTTCTTAAAAGTAAAATGGCCCCTTAGAATCTCTCCATAAATTCAACCCTGAAGTCTAGTTTTTTCCATGGTTTGTTTTTGGCACAGAGCCATACCTTCCTTAACTGAGAGTTACAGATTATCAATGAAAACTGAGAGCTACTACAAGCTTCTTTCCCTAATCAAAATAAAAAGTTAGCTTAAAGAATGATTTCAGAGCCTATAGACAGCTGCTTCAGAGTTGAAGTGGCAAATACTGAAAGTTCATCATGGAGACACCTGGGTAGTTCAGTTGGTTAAGCATCTGACTCTTCAGCTCAGGTCCCAATCTCATGGTTCTTAAGATGGAGGCCCTTGTGGGGCTCCGCACCGGCAGCATGGAGCCTACTTGGGATTCTCTCTTTCTCTGCCCCTCCCCACTCACTTGCACAAGCCCTCTCTCAAAATAAATATTTTTTTTTTAAAAAGGAGTCCAAGGGGCACCTGGGTGGCTCAGTCGGTTAAGTGTCCGACTCTTAATTTCTGCTCAAGTCATGATCTCATGGTTGGTCATGAGAGACAGAGAAGAGCCCCACATTGGGCTCTGGGCTGACACTGTGGAGCCTGCTTGAGATTCTCTCTCCCTCTCGTTTTGCCCCCCCCCCCCCACACACACACACTCAGGTTATCTCTCAGAACTAAATAAATTAAAGAATGAATGACTGGTTAGCCTCTATGTCATAAGATCTTCCAAATCATACTAATGAGAAATTGGGCAATATAGGTCTATCTCACCAGCATCTGAGCAATGTTAGTTATACCTCAAAGTTTGCAACCTGTAAGGCTGGGATTCCAAATTTTGATCCACAAAATGGTAAGGGCCTCTGGCCTTCCTGATCATTAAGTTTCAAACTATATGCCCTTCCCTATCATCCCATCCTTACACATGCCCTTTTACTTGACATCTGGACTTACCCAGAAAGGCTGATAAAAGTGGCTGAAAAGTAGTCTTGGCTTTTTCAAAATAAGTCATGGTTTCTATTCTAGTTGAAAATATATATATAGAGGGGCGCCTGGGTGGCGCAGTCGGTTAAGCGTCCGACTTCAGCCAGGTCACGGTCTGCTGCTCCAGGTCTGGAGTTCGAGCCCCACGTCAGGCTCTGGAGCTGAGCTCTGAGAGCCTGAGACTTTCATGTGCTCCCTCAGCTCCTCTCTGCCCCCCGTTCATGCTCTGTCTCTCTCTGTCCCAAAAATAAATAAACGTTTAAAAAAAAAAAGAAAGAAAATATATATATAGAGACATATATACAAAAAGACAAGCACAAAAAAGTTATTATCAGTTCACTTATACAGATAAGAAGGTAAGAATATTTTCAATGTATAATCTGACTCAATAGCTAAAATTTGTCAACTAAAAAAATTTCAGAGACATTTTAAATTCTAAAATTCTATTTAAACATTAATTAGCCTCTAAAGTAACCCAAAAGGTTATAATTTTTAAGTGGTAATTTTTTAAAAAGTACTTAAGCTTAGGTTCAAAGTAAAAGAGAAACTAGTTTTTAATGGTCTTGCACAGCTCAATATTCCTCCAAAGAAAAGAAATTACATTTCTTTTTCTAACTTTATCAAAATAAACACACTAATAACACACTTACTCTGGTTTTGAATAACTTTCTCACAGGGAAAATAACCAATGTTTTTGTACCAAGTGTCATTTATTCATTTTATAAATTAGTCACTTTTCACCACACAACACTTAGAGTACACACTTGTAGACTGACACTTTGGATCATGAGCTTTCATATCTAAGTCTTTATATCTAAATGTTTCTTAAAAAGAAGCACTTACAGTCAAAAATATTTAAGATATTTCAACAAATTCTAAAGTATGCTAGATAAACTCAAAAGCATGATCTCATTTCAAAGTGAGAAAAACTGAATGGCATTCTAAAAGAAACAGTAAATTCTAATGATAAAATCATTTTGATAGGAATGCCTCAAGTTTTTTAAAAGCACTTTAAAACCACAATATCTTTCCATCGGTTACAAAAATATACACCTCCTACCATGAAATCAATTTATAAAATCCACATAGATTAGTGTAATCTGCAGGACAGTTCATAAGAACTATGATTCCTTCCCAAATTTAAAAGGACTCTTAAAAAAAAAAAACTTAAACGGCAACAAGGGGTCATTTCAGAATTAAGATTATCAAGACCACCATAACCAGCTTCACCAGTAAAGCTTTTTCATACAAGTGATAAATTTATTACCTTGAAACAGTAAAATGATTACGATATTTTGTAGTCTCTTATGTTCAAGCATTAAGAAAACCAAGTATGTTTGATTATCAGGTCTGAACCTTATTTGGACTTGTGGCTCTAATATCTCTTACTCCTTACTCTGAAATATGATGTAAAATTAGATATTCCGGTGTATACCTTACAAATATGAAGTCAAAACTCCACTTCCTGAGATACTACTTGACCAACCATCATCCCCTAAAGGGATGTAGTAGACAGATATTTAAAAAAAAAAAAAAAAAAAACAAGATGAAGAAAAAAAAATCTTTGCTTATATTTGATATTTTTACTCTTGTGAAATGGAAATAGCAGGGGACTTGATAATGTACTTTATTCAGATCCAGCTCTACCACTTGCATTCTATACTTACTGTTTTGAGTAAGACACTCAACTTGCTTCTTCATCTGTTAAATGGAAGTCAAAATAATACCTATCTTGCACCAGAGTTGTGCGAATGAGGCGGAGATATTTAAATTGTGCAGTACTAAGTGTGTGTGTGTGTGTGTGTGTGTCCGCACTCTAGATAAATGGAAGAACTATGGTAGATGCTAACTGTATAAACTAATATCAACTTTCAAACGTCTACTGGTACCAATGAAAGAGGATATAATAAAATGATTAATAACATATACTTCATTGTGTGGTTCTCATCAATTTTTAGTGGTCTTGAAGACATTCTCCTTCCTGCCATGCCTATGTAGTTTAGTACAATTTTTGTAGTCTATTTTAGCCCATCCAAGATGTTTTCCTCACTAGCTGTATCTAAAGCTGTATTTTCATAATATTTAAAGCTTGGTATTCCTTATAATATTAAATATGAACCAAAATGGTCTTTTTATCAGTTACCAATCAGAATTTCTAGAACTTTAGAATAAAGCTTTTCAAGCCAAATCAATATGGATTGTTAAAAATTCTACTGTTCATCAAAATACTAGATGGTCAAAATACATGCTAGTATACTTTAGAAGCAGAACATACATGACATGGTTCTCTGTGCTTAAAAAAGTACATTAAAAACCAATTAGTTTCCAAAGTGATCAAAAGTAATAACAACAACTGAAACATACTAATAAATTTTAATGTCTTGAAAAAATGAAGCTTATTTTTGTTGGTATCCACGTTATTTCTCACAAGCTTTAAAAAAATGTTATTCTTCAGCGAGCTCTCCAATACATGACTTTAAATATTATCCTCTAAAATCATGACATCCATGTTAAAGCACTACTATATAAAGATTATAAACCACACACTAATAGAGTGTTTCCTTCCAGACTGTATTTTATTATGATTCCAACTCTTTGATTCCGTAAAATTACTTTAAAGGATATCAGCTCATTATTCTTCTCTACAATAATTTATACTTGTTTTAAACTTTCTCCCAGATTTGATCACAAATAGAAGCTACTAAAATCAGTTTGGAGATCATATTAATGACCACACATGAGGAATTTAAGAAGCACTGATTAAATATAAAAGACTAGTCTTTTCCCTATTAAGTAGCGAAAAGTGATAGTTGGGGTCTCCTCCCCGAACAAGGAAGTTCTGTTAAATCCAGGCGAGACCAGCCATGTTGGAAAACACTTGTCAATTATAGTTCTGACAAGTGTTCGCGAACACGGTTGGATGAAGCTAACCTTGTGTACTGAGGTGTGTACATCAAGGCCCTCTTAAGCCCTGCCAGAGGATCTGGGCCTACTTTGAGGATTGTTTCTGAGTTAGAGCTGTCCTTACGTTCGTAAAGAGTGTAGAGCCGAGGGGAAAGAGGGCGGGGAAAGGAGAGTTGGGGGGAAATGGTTTGAGAGTTGGAAGCGGCTATCCGCAGCGACAGGGGCGCGGCGACCAGGAGAGATTTGCGAGTTGAGAACCTGGGGGAAGGGCTGAAGATTTGGGGAAAGGGGAGATATCAGCAAAAAGTCCCCTCGGCCCCCTCTGAGGGGCCCATGAGTGCAAAAGGAGGAAGGGAAGGGAAAACGCTTCAGTGCACTGACCTGTCCTCCGAGTCCATGCGGCTCAGGGGTTCCCCATCCGACGACATCTCCAAGCTGCCTCGCCGGCCCCCGGAGGTCGCGCTGCTTCCGCCACCCCCGGTCCCGTAGCCCTCATCGCCGCCACTAGAGACGACGCTGCTGCTACTGCTGCCGCCCCCGCCGCCGCCCTGGCTGCCCCGCGGTCCCTTGGGTTCCTCCAGGCCCTCCTTGCCGTCCCCATCCCCGCTGCTGCTGCTGGCGGCGCCGGGGCTGAGCGAGCGCGTCTCGTCGCTGCTGCTCCCGCCGCTGCTGCCCACCAAGCTCTCGGCGCTACTCTCCTCCTCGCCCCCGCCGCTGCTGCTGCTCTCGTCCTCCTCCTCCTCGTCCTCTTCTTCGTCCTCGTCCTCCCCGGCCTGGCTGGCGCTCTCGGGGCTCGGCTCCGACATCGTCTCCGCCTCGCCGCCCCCCACTCCGCCGCCACCGCCGCCGCCCCCACCGCCGCCGCCGCCGTTCAACAGCAGCACAGCCACCGCCTCGGCCTCGGCCTCCTCTTCCTCCTCCTCTTCTTCCTCCTCCTCCTCGGGGGGCTCAGCCCGGCCCCGCGCCGCCGGGCCAGGGCTGCCGGGGGGCAGAGGGCTCAGGCGAGAGAGCTCCTCCAGGTCGGCCATGTCGGTGATAGCGGCGGCCATGGCGGCGCCTGCTCCTCCTCCTCCTCCTCCCCGCCGCCGCCGCCGCCGCCTCCCTCTCCCGACTCTACCTCCCTCGCCCCCTCCCAAACGCCCAAAACTCCGCCGACGCCGCTGCAGAGCAGGAGGAGGGCCCGCGAGCTGCGTCAGCCTACACACGCGCTACGGAGCCCGCGCGGGGACAGGCGCGCGACTGCGCGCATTCACGCGGAGACGGTTGCGCGCCTGCGCGGCGGCACGAGGTAGCACCTCCCCCGGGCCGCGGATTCCGCGCCCGCGCCCCCACCCGTGTACCCGCCCGGATCCGCCGAGTCCTCAGAGTTTCTTTGGGGCCTTCCCACGCCTTCCCCTTCCTCGCAGCCGCCAGGACACGCAGAACGAAAGCTTGAGTGCTAGCCGGGGATTTTAACAGCCGTCTGAGTTCTCACGATAAAGTCATTCATTCCGGGGATGTTTGGGGAGTGCCCCTGGGTACCGGCAGTGAGCCAGGCAATGAGCCCTGGGCTTCTGAGAGCTTGTAATCTACGAGGAGAGATCTTTAAAATGGATAAAAATAAGTAATACAATGCAAAGTACTAAATCCATACGGGCAGCCACAGGTTTTGGTCCAACCTTCGTTTGAATACCCCAAGAAATGGTTAAATCAGTATCAGAGCTAATGTGTCTTATGTTCAAGATCTTCAAACTTGTTAGCTCAGGAGTCCTGTAAAACAATTTTGTACATCCTTAATATAGTTTAAAAATAAATATACATTTTTCTTCAGCTTGTTATAAATATTTTATAACTGTCACACTTTTAAATGTAGCCAATGAACTCTAAATACTGCAGGGACTTAATATCCACCAATATCCACTTTTTAAAATACAATTTCTTTTCTACTTGGTTAATTTCCATCCTTCCTTTATCTTCTGGAACTCTTTTATATTCGGCATCCCCTTCAGAATTTTATACTAATAATGAATGTCCTATTTGAACTATTGTATTGATCATCTTATATTTCCTTGTAATAAAATGAAATAAATTGAAATTTAAGGGTTTTTTAATTTCCTGTTATAAAATCCTAAATCTTATTATTTCAATTGATCAAAACACATATTTTAAATACTTACATGTATGTAAGTATTAAACACAAAAGTTAAATTTTGTTGGAAATGCATCTTACAGAGATGGAACTCCTAGTTCCAACTAGTCTATTTTATTGGTGGATGAGTAATTACTAGAATGAGAACAAGTTCAGCATCAATTCTATTCCAAGTTTTCAATTCCATGGATGCATGCATTGAAGAAACTTGTTTCCAAAAATGAGTGGATGAAAATGAATGGAGTTTTTAGTAATGCCACTCGAATCTTTGAACCCTTTCCAAGTTATATACCAAAAAAAAAAAAAAAAAAAAAAAAAAAAAAAAAAAAAAAAAAAATCACATAAAGAGCTAACAAAAAGTACTTTCATTTTTTATTAAATGTTTTATTTATTTCTGAGAGAGCACAGGCAGGGGAGGGACAGAGAGAGGGGGACAGAGGATCTGAAACAGGCTCTGTGCTGACAGCAGAGTAACTGATGTGGGGTTTGAACTCCTGAGCCTAGAGGTCATGACCTAAGCCAGTCAGAGACTAACCGACTGAGCCACCCAGGTACCCCTAACAAAAATGGTCAGCTGACAGCTCTTACTAGTTTATAAACTTTGTTGAAAGCAAGTAACCTGAAACCAGGAGACTTGTAAAGGATGTGTTACCCATTCTCATTTACCAGTCAATTGTTCCTTTTCTGATGTCCTAGAGATTTTTTGCTCCCCCATCCCCACCCCGCCCCAGGGTATTGCACCTAGGTAAAATTTGGGATGGGGAAGAATTATGCCTTTCTTTTTTTAAAGTCGGGGAGGGGCGGTTGGGATAAGGAAGGCTGGAAAGAATTTTACACTCTGACCCCAGGGGCATACTTTCAGGCAGATCACTTTTAGAGACAGCCACCTGAGAGAAGTGAGGATCTGAGAACTGATTATGTTAAAACAGTAGTCTCCTACTCATACACATCTTGAAAAGTCTTCATAGACCATGAGTACTCCAGTTTTGTATCTGCTGCCTTAGGCCTTTGGATAGCTATTATATGTTCCATATGTTGCCTCAAGGGAAAGCAAAAAATTTTTAAATAATAGTATGGGGCATTATGGTTTACAAATACCTTGAGACACACATACAATGCAAAATCCTAACCTCAAACATTTCAGCCTCAAAGCCACTCTTTGAGAAAGACAAGGAATGTCCTATCCTATATTGTAAATTAAGTACTATCAGAGAGTTTAACTGAAGAGTGTATACTAAGTGTATGTGCCAGGCACTGTACTAAACCCTGGAAATTAGGGTTAACATTTAGCTGAGCTAATCAAGGAAAACTTCATAAAGGATGTAGGATTTGAACAAATTTGTATAGTAACATATATAACTACATGTAAGTTTAATTAATTTGAGCTGAATCTTGAAGAGTGACGAATAGAATTCTATGTGAGGGGGAATTCTAGGACTGAGAAATAAAAACATGGAAACACATAAAAATTTATTCTGGACAGTGTTAATCAACCATGAGAAAGCAATCTAGAAAACTAAAAAAGACTTTAAGATTAGATTGCATAAAATCTTGAACAAACAAATTGACTTTGGAAGACAACATACACTGGGATTTGTTTTTTCAAGATGTGCTGATATGATTGAAGTTATTTGTAACGGTGGCTAATGCATAGGGAATAAGAAGAAAAGTGTGAAGAGAGTGAAAGTGAATGGGGATTCAACACGTGGAAATGGCAGGTATCAAAGCGACAAGTGAATGCATTAGCTGCAGTATTTGTTGGACTTGGAGAATACAATGAGCTATCTTGGAACTGGCTAAAGTTCAGGTCCCACCCATCCCCAGAGACTTTTTTTTTTTTAATTACAAATTTTCTGAAAATTTCAAAGAATTAAATAATAAACCACTATACATTTGTATAGATTCATCAATTATTAACATTTTGCCACTTTAGCACAGCCTGTGTTCCTCTGTCTCTCAGTCCCTCCTCCTCTCTCTCTCTCTTTTAAAATTTATTTATTTAATTTGGAGAGAGAGCAAGGGACAGGCTGAGAGAGAGGGAGGCAGAGCATCCCAAGCAGGCTCCATACTGTCAGTGCAGAGCCCAATAGGGGACTCAAACTCACAAACCAGGAGATCATGACCTCAGCCAAAATCAAGAGTTGGACACTTAACCAACTGAGCCACCCAGGTGCCCCTTCTTCTCTCTTCTTTACCCCTCCACTTTACCCCTCCCCCTTCCTCTCTTCTAACCCCTACCTCTACCCCCTCTCCTTTTCTCTCTCCATCTGGGTTTAGTTGCAGATCATTACTCTGCATGTATCTCCTTAGAACAGGGCCACTCTCCTACATAACCACAATGTTAAAGTGTCATTATCCCACTCACTGAAGTGTGTGGCTAGAGGCCAGACTTGTGGATGATGGATTTCCTTCCGGCGGCATCAGGTGAGAGGTGGGTGGATAGGACCACCAGAAGCACTGTCTACCGACCAGTGCACCTCCATAAACTATTTGTTACTGGTCTGTAGCTAGATAAGTACTGAAATTAGCTTCTGGAAACTTCTATAACCACTTGACAGAGTAATTTTATGCCTACTGAATCTAATAATAAAAAAATGGGGCTTATATTTTGATGTCATCAGTTTATTCTATTATTCTAGTAATTCACTTTTACTATATTTTGCAAAAGTATCAGTCCACTAAATTTAAGGAAAAAAAAAAAAATACTGGTCCTTTGCAGATTGAAAATCACTGCTTCTATAGTTCCCTTCTTCCCGCTAGGAGAATAGGTGATTCTATGCATATTAGAAGTTACCAGATAATACACCATTGCATAAGAACTATTTGATTAGGAATAGTATTCAAACCCATCGACCACAGTACTAATGGGGTTGGATTAGCAGTAATTTGAATTCCTCTGCTTTTCTACCTACCAAGCCTACTAACAAAGTAAGGACCCCTCTGGCTTTCCAGGAGCCTCTGGGGTGCGAGGTCTTTCATATACTCACACATTCTTCTCCCAGGGGCCTCTTCTAGGCATTGCAGGCTCCATTCTGGGACCTGTGACACAGGCAAAGCAGGCAAAGCCACAGTGTAGCCTGCAGAAATGGAGATGATTGTGTGGACCCGTTTTAGGGGAACCCCGAGGCAGACTGCTTGTGCCCAATATCAGAGAAGGTTTTCAGTGAAATAGCTCTTTATGTTTTTACTCAGAGCTCTGTTTCTCTTAGGCACCCAGACATGCTTTCATGGGCCTTGGATTGGCGACAGATTTCAGTAACAGCCACCCCAAGCTGCATTTATTATTCCCCATCCAATGACTAAGTCTTTCTTATAGAGCTTCTCTGTCTCATTCTCTTCCACTAAAATGAGTTCTGTTCTAGGAAGCAGTTTCAGCCCCCATGTCAGCAGGTTTCTTTCAGGCCTGCCTCACCAGTTTGCCAGACATGCCCAGACATGCTGGAACCCAGCAACAGACCCAGCTTAGATTTAAGCTGAGATTCCTGCTACACCACACGTGAGATACTTCTGAAAACGACAAATGATGTCTCTAAAACATGCAGCTGTCACACATTTTGCACCTTTACAGCCTCCTCATTCTGCATGTAGGTACTGCCATAGTGAGCAAGATCAATAGCAACATAATGACTTCATTCTCTGATTGACTTGGAGTCTAAAGATAGTATACATGAGGGTGCCTGGGTGGCTCAGTCAGTTAAGTGTCCAACTTCGGCTTAGCTCATGATCTCGTGGGTTTGTGGGTTTGTGTCCCCCGTCGGGCTCTGTGCTGACAGCTCTGGAGCTTGGAGCCTTTCTTGAATTCTGTGTCTCCCTCTCTCTGCGCCCCTCCCCCAATCACACTCTGTCTCTGTCTCTCAAAAATGAATAAACATTAAAAAAAATTTTTTAAAAAGTATACACGAAATGATAGAACATCTTACC